ATAAATAATTACATATGAATCCAAATTGCAAAATTTCACAAGAACCACCTGGCCTTTTTAGTGCTTTCATGCAAGGCAGCCTTAGCTCGTCTTATTTCTTCAGGTATTGGAGATGATAGCAGCTTGCCTTTTAATGAATGGGTAGGAGATTCATCAGCTGAAATGCCAAGTGCATTATTCAGGTGCTTTTTAAAGTCTCCTTGACGATTAAACTTAAGACCAGCAGCAACCACCTTTGGATTGAACTGCAAGCATTGCAAGAAACTGGACACGTCTCCTTGAGTTACTGTAGCAGAACTGCTTCTCGACATGTTAGGAAGAGAAGCTAGGACTGGATTCTCCAAGCTCTCATGAAAGCTACCTGATCTGTCTAACTGAGCAGCTAAGTGGGGTCCACGCTGTCCACCAGGGTATAAAGGCCTATCCGGGCTACCGGAAAACAGATCAAACTTGCTAGATGTTGCCATAGCATCAGATTTTGCACCTCAGATGTATTGTGAACCCAAAAAATACAGTGGCGCATGACCAAATTGTGGTACAAAAGCACATAAAGACCAGTTTTCAACTCTGAAGTACCAAGTACAATACACCTGTAATTGAGAAAAACAACAAATAAGTACCTCACCCAAATTTATTTCCAATCTTTATATCAGACTCCAAAATCAATCTCAAGTTCAAGCCCTTAGGTGCTTAATGGTCATGCCTCAGTCACCATAGAGAAAAACCTAGGATCAGAGAACTAAGCCACCATTCATAAAGCTTTTCACCTCCTTCACCTCAAAAGATTCAAAAAAGAAGGTAACAATAATATCTTCTGTACAGTTGATCACAGATATTTGGTCTGCACTTAAATTTCTGTTATTGATTAAAAAAAAAAATGAAGAAAGAATTTAAAAGGACAGCAAGTTGTAGACCTAGATGAGCAGGGCACTGCATATAACTTCAAGCTACAATAATAAAAGGAAAACCACAGTTATAGGATAGCAATGATGGTATCATAAACTTCAGTTGTTGGACATGTAGCTTCCATTAAACAACTTTATCTTTTTCCATATTTTCCATCCATACATTCTTTCAACTACCTCAATTTCTAGAAATGTCATACTCTTGGCCATAAATATTTGGTTTAAATGCCCCTTGTCACAGTTAATTATTTGTAATGGAACTGAACTTCAAACAAGGTCAGCACCATTGTTAATCTTTAACAATGACTGAATAGCAAGGAGGAAAAAAAAATACACATGTTATGCTCCTTGCAATTGTCAACAGTGAATGTAGCTGCATGTTTACATTCACAATCTATAAAGAGAAAATATACCATAAATATAAACTTGGTCCAAATTAAAAGAAAAGGACGCCGCCTGGTTTACACAAATAACTTCAAAAAGTGACCAATTGATACACAGTTTTTTGCAGTATTAGCCATTAGGATCACCATTAACACTTCAGTATCACCTATTTTACATTTTTCATTCAGTTTTCCAACTATAATCATCTGTAACAATAACTGTGGTCGTGTTTCCTTCCCACTTCAATTAATTCTCAGATAAAATAGAAACAACTCCCAGTGCAAAAAAATAACAAATTTCCATATTTCTCCCATGATATATTCTCAATCATTAACTTATCGTAAGAACACCACAAACTTAATATCTCAAAGGTACCATTCCCCTTCTAACAAACCTCTCCCACACCTCAATCTCACTTCATTTTTCATAAAAATAAAACTTAACAAAATTCAAAAATGGAAAATAAATCATAAATTCAGAAAAAAAAAAAAAAAAACCCAAAAAACCAAACAAACCAAAGAATAAAAAAAAAAAAAAAACAAAAACCGGAAACCAAGAAAAAAAAAAAAAAAAAAAAAAAAAAAACAGAAATAAAAAAAAAAGTTAGATTCAAGCAAAAAATAAAATCTACCTTGAATCGAAACAATGATGAAGCTACGAAGACGATTTTTAACAAGATATTGAGATTAATTGGATTCGGGATTTGAAATTGATTTTTAAGTAATGAGTTTTGAAGCTGGAAAATCAGACATGGATTGAAGGAGGTCGAGGCGCCTGTGTTTTGATCGGCAATGGAGTTTGCCTGTGTTAATTGACGGTTTTGCCCATGGATCGTTACGTTCGGAAAGGGATATTGCGTTTTCTAGATGAGGGTGTTTTCGGAAAGAATGAAATATGTCGAGCGGCTTTTCGAGGCAGCTCGCAGTTTTTCCTACTTATGGGTGGTATTTGTAATTCAGGAATGGAATTTCCTCGAAATTCAGTTTCAAAAAAAAAAAAAAAATCATTTTTGAGGGTAAATTATTGATATTTTATGTAATTTGAGGATTTTTTTATTATATTATTTTTTTTACTATCCTCCAACTATTCAGTAATTATATTGAATCCGATTAATTTAAAATTAAGTTATATCAAATCTCACAAGAATAAAACACTTTCAATATTTATTTTTTCATTTATAAAATTTAAACTTGAAATCTTATTTTAAAAAAATTAAATTTTTTTTACTCAAACCAACAAGTCGTTAATATCCTATATTATTGATTACCACAAATATAAATCATTTACGTCAAAATTATAAGATTTGTGAGTTAATGATATATTTACAATTTTACATGCATGTTAAAGTTTTTATTTAATGTTAGTAATAATAATTCATAATATTTCACACTATACTGATGATTTTTGTTAGTGATTAATGATAAGTCACAAAAGAATTAAAATGCATGTTGAGATTTTAAGATGTGTTGGGTTCTTTATGATTCAATGATGAAGTAAGATTTATGAATAGTTAAAGGTAGTAATAAACTTATATTTTAGAGAAATTTATATAAAATTTTTAATATATACATGCTCAAATGTCTTTAGGGCAGTATTATTGCCGTAGTATTATTACTATTTAAGATTTTTAATTATGTTTATGCTTGTAAAGTAGGAATAGAAGTTTTAAAACTTCAATTGGAATTAAACTTTCTGCAATAAATTAGGAGTAATTATAAATAGTTAATTATAATTACAAGAGTAATGATTTGCGGGCAGAAGTATATAGGCTTTTGTTTTTATTAGAAAACGCAATTACGTCATAGGAAGTCTATATATATATATATATTTATTTATTTATAATGAAAAGTTTTTTTTTTATTTTTTTATCTTATTCACTTTTATGTCATGTGATTTAAAATAAAAATAAATAATTGATCATAAAAACTTTATTGAAAGTTTTTGTAAGAAATCAATTATAATAGTATTAAATAATTATAGTAGTTATTTGAAATGGTTAAATTTAATTATATTGTAATGCCTTAGAGGTTGATTGAATTATTGATATTATGTATTCTTAATATATTGTAAAAAATTTTGTACTCATAAAAAAATACTTATAACTAGTATTAAATGAAAAGAGTAAATGCCAATAAAAAAATTATTACAAGAGTAATGATTTGTAGGCTGGAAAAAATAATGTCGTTGATCATGTGGGACTACATGAGTCGCATTTAAATCAGCTGTAAAATAATTACAACTGCAGGCCATGAAATTATTACAGCTTTTTTATATTTGACTCATGAATTATTTTTCCTTTTATGAGTGAATTATTTTTTTCAGTTATACGCTAATCACGTAAGAATAAAGTTTACAAAAAATTAAAATGTAGTCTGCACAATTTTTTTTTTTTTAACAATTTACAACTTAAAGGAAAAGAATTCAAACCTCAATTTCAGAATTAAAAAAAATGCACCTTGCTACAAATATAAAGTGATTAGATCATAAGAGTCAAGTGCATACTCTACACAATTTTTACTACAATATAAAAAATAATTCTAATAGATAATGTAATTATGTAAGGGTCAAGTTTAGAAAATAGATTGCATTATAATATTCTCTGACTATTAAATATGTACCTTGGCAGAAATTTTATATCCATTCCAGCTTCATGGTCTGTGTCGGACACCCTGGAGCTTGCATTTGCTGAGTTGCTTTTGTCCGGTCAATGTTTATGCGGATTAATTCATCATGAAAAAAGAAAACAAAAAAATAATTATAAAAATATATGATATTATAAATTTATAATTATGATATATCATTGTGATTTAATTTTTATTTAAAGATTCATTTATAATATTATATATATTTATCATTTAATAATGCATTATAGTGATTTAATTTTTATTTAAAGATCTATTTATAATATTATATATATCTATCATTTAATAATACATTATAATTATCAATTTATAATTTTATATAATACTATAATTACAATATTACAAAAAAAAATCTAAAAAAAAAACTAACGTTTCTCTTCAATAAATCCAAATTTCACTTAATCCTTACTGAAAAAAATTCACATATCTTTAAAGTTAAATGAGTGTTACCATTTAAGTAAAGTCTTAAATTCAAGTATTATAAATAAAAAAAAATAAGTGTTAAGAAAATTTTTTTCTTATGAAATCTAATGCAGTTTAATTATATTAAGGAATTAGTTTTAAAAAAATCAATATTATAATAAATATTAAATAGATATTTTTTTATATAAATCTAATTTTCAAGCCAACACCTAAAAGATTTTTTCTTCATCCTTAAAATTCCTAGAGGGAGAATAGTCTTTGATTAGGTTCCCACGTCTAAAGTTCTGGCTCACCAGCAACGATAATAACAATGAAAAAGTGTGGTGTTGTATAATAAATATTGTTTTAAATTATATAATTTTAATTAATAGATAAAATAACTATAATATTAAAATTTTTTCTTTAATAATTTTTTTCATAAATTTTATTTTACAATTCAATATAATCAAATGAAAAACTCTAACATAATTATTGAAAGAAACTCAAAATTTCACTTATTCAACAAAAAAAATTAAAATTTCAATTTATTCTCTCAACTTTTAAATTTATATCAAATTTATCTTAAACTTAAAAAAGTATTAAAAATGTTCATAAACTTCAAGTCAATACTAATTCTATCCTTCCGCCAACGTGATAGGTAACATGCAAAGGATGAAAGATTTCATTCAAAATCAGTCTGTGACATTAGTAAACACACATCAGGACAGCTTGGAACCAGTCTCGTGTTCAAAGAAAAGGGAAAGGACGTAGGGTGGATTGGAATGAGGATCGGAAACAGCCACAAGAGAAGTTAATTATCCAGTCTGAAACTATTGCGACCAACCAGACCCATCAAGTGACATCCCCTCATGCTTTGCAGATATGAGTCATATGACTGTACACTCGGAAGTTCTGCAAAGTGCAAACACAACAGCTAACTTCAAGAATGGCACAGTTCCTACCTAGCGCGGAAATAAGGAGGGAGACTCTCCTGTCTTAAGAAGACGAGCTTGTTAGTGCAGTTTATGCAAGATGCTTTATGTATATGGAAAGGGATGAACACTGCTCACTGTGACATGGCATCGTCTGATGATGCAAGCACTTGAGTTCCTTGGTTGTCATTACTCATTAGTGTACTTGAATAGTCAACTGCAGAATCATCTAAAGGAAAATGTTATCCATTATCAACATCTTACTCAAATTAATATACGAAAAGAAGACTTAAAAATGCTAGTTAGTGTAGGAAGAGGATTTATTACTGTGAACGCTGTATGTGGATGATTTTCTTGGTAAGCCACTTTTTTTAAATCTGCAGTGGTTGAGTGGACTTTGAGAATTATTCAAAGGAAGCGTTATGAATCACATGCAGCTAAACAAACGCAAGTAGACACAGAGAATTAAAAAGACAATGATAAAGCAGACAGTAAATATTCTTTCCTCCAAATGGCACATTGCAATTTCTCTACCTTGGGAAAAGGAAATTTCCTTTGAGGAACAGGTTGAAGCCGAAGTACAGTATGGATAATACACGAGGGGACTAGAACAGTGTACCAAATGACTGATGTAACCCTTTGACGGCATAAGATTTTTTATATGTATACCCAACAAAACTAAGATCTTAAGTAGTTAAAAGCATCTGCAGACAAAGAAGCAAAGAGAAGTTAAAAGCACAGCAACTTTCTCAAATATTGAAGCCAGTACAACTTCACATAACAAGCATAATATAGCAAATCACAAGATGAGAGTAAGATGTGCAAACTAAAAGTTGCAACCATGATCTTCAAATAACATGAAATAGCCACAACCAAAAACTGTATTATGCTGGAGAGGAGCAATCGGGAAATTCACACCTTTCTTATGGGTCCAGATCCTGTTCTTGCTGATTTTGGGACCTCCGCCTGTGACACACAATAAGAATACTTCATTAAAATGGTAGAAAGGCGTGAACGTAACAAAAACAGGAAATGTTGTAGAATCCATGTGAATCAAAGAAAGTGTAATCTAATAAATTATACATTTTAATAAATACAGCATCATGCACCATTAGGAATATAAATGTATACCACCAATAATATCTAGTAGTTGTCTATTCTTTGGCATGTGTTGAGAAGAAAGCTCCAATCGTATTCTTTTGTTTTGCTCCTATTTTCTTTCCTCTAATAGGAAAAACCAAGAAAGTTTGATAGCATGTGAACTCAGGTGGCTTGGATCATAATTTTCCACTAAGCCAGAACTATTAACTTAAAATGGCCATTAAACATATAATTATTTACCAACAGAAGCTAATGATTATTTGTTGATTCCAAAATCTGGATTACAAGATGGAAAATGGGCAAATAGCTCTCAGACCAATAGCCTACTTCAAAGAAATATCTTTGACCATCAGACTTCTGATGAATATGCAGGCTAACAGACCATAATATCTTCTCCATCCAGAGTTAACATCTAGAGTTAATTGCATTGTACCATGAATATATATATATATATATATATTTTTTTTTCCAAAGCATCAAAGAATAACCAAAAGAAGCTTGTCCAAAATTTTAGGATATATACATTTTACATTTACCCCATCGAAATTCATAAAATTTTGAGTATCAAGTTCCCCAAGGACTTGTGGTTTAAATGCTGCCTCCATCTCATAGAGTTTGTCCCAAATTATATCTTTGAACCAAGGATGAGCCTGATTGTAACCATTGTCAATAGCTTAATATACATACAGAAGAAAAAGTGAAAAGCAAATAGAAATATAAAATATTTTGGGACAAACTGAAGCTAACTTTTATCTTGTCAGCACCTAAGGTACCAAGTCTTTGTTCAACATCACAAAGCAGCCTAGAGATCAAGTACTTTGCCTCAGGTGACAACCTTGCTTCCTCTAGAAATTTCAAGTGATTTTTCCAATGAACAATCTGCCATTCATCATCAGCTTGTAGAACTAATTAAAAATGTATTCAAAACTTATCTAATGACATAAAAACGTAAAATGAAGGTACTTTAACTTCACACCATGTTGGTTTTCCAAGTCATTGCTTACATAAAAGAATGGGTAGAATGTAAAATGCAGATACAACACAAGCTAACTTAATACTACAATAAACACTGACTGTCATTAGAGCAAGGCAGAGAAGATCTAGTGACATAATAAATAAGGCCACATCTAACATTGAAATAAGAACGTGTAAATTATTGGTTAATAGGATATCTCTTGTTTCAACTTTTGAAAAAAAAAAAATCAAACAAATATTTTCAGCAAAATAAAACCTTTCGACATGTAATTACTGGATCATCAGAGTAAAATGGGGGATAACCAACGAGCATCTTGTACATTATAGCACCAAGTGACCACCTGCAAACAGATAACTGGACAATAGTTTATAAAATATAAAACATACCGAATTAAAAATGTGAGAAAATAAATGCCAACCCTGCGAGTGTCAAGAGTATGTATCATTTATTTTAATTATCGCACCAGTCACATTCCATGCCATATCCTTTCTTCAGCAATACCTCAGGAGCAATATAATTTTTTGTGCCAACTGTTGAATATGCCTACCATTGAAACATGAGAAAAAGGTCAGAATCTATTGGATGTATAGTTCCTTGAATCAATCAAGACAAATCCATAAGATAATTACATACACATTAACACAAGTTGGTCTATGAATTAATTTAATTGAATAAAAAGAAACAAAAATTCAACACTACACCTAAGAACGTTGCCACCGGTTCACATAGAAAGAATTACATTATAGACATCTAAAAAATAAAGAGAACATAATGCAGTAAAATCCTAAAGTTCAGAGAATTCAAAACCTGAAAAGAAAGTGAACAGAAGGTCGAAAATTTTCACTTTGCAGCACCAGTTTGTGCTTAACCAAATATCTCCATTCATCTCTAGGGATTTAAACATAACCTCCCAGTAGACCTCCGCTCCTTCCATGCCTAAAGGAAACAATATCTAAGTTACACAAGATCACCGACCCTCCTCTTGCACACACTCATCAATAGTTCAATGTGTAGCCATAAAATTAATATCAAAGTTTGATATTATCTTTGACTTTAAATCCAATTAAGTAATAACCGACTAAAATAAGCTCTCTGTACATTAGTGAAAAGATATTCATTAGATAATGTATTTGTAATTGGGTTTGTTTAATCTGTACCCTAAATGCATATGTTAAGACTCATTAATTATGATATCTTTAATTATTTTTGTATAAATTTCTATATCAAATTCATATCATTTTACAGATTTCGAGTAAAAATATTATATTATATTATACTTTTACATTTTATATTTTATTTTATTGGAATCTTATATAAAAATTTGTGTAAAACTAATTATAGATACTACAATATTAATGAAACTTAACCTATGCCCAAAGGGGATGGGTTAGAAAATCCCTTTGTAATTTGAGAAAGAAATTTGGATTAATACCAATTTCCTCCTGTTATGCTGCCAATGCTGTAGTTGTTCAAATGGACTTCTCCACTACCAGATTCAGGGAAGTTTTCATCTACATCGATTGATTCATTCAACTTCTCATCATCCAGGGCTTCATTTTCATTTATAGTACACAAATTTCTACAGTCAAGGGGCTTGCAAAGACCAAAGTCAGAAAGCTTCATATGACCATTGTTGTCCAACAGAAGGTTGTCCAGTTTTGTCTGACAAATGAAAACAGACGTGGTTGTGTTATGAGTCACAAGAAATAGAACATGTTAAGATATTTTGCAGTTAAAAATTCCATATGTTGATATTATTGTTGGTTTTTGGACATAAAAAAAATTTATATGTTGGTAAATATGTGGTCAAGAGAAAAATAGTAAAATACCTACCTATGAATATAATTATGCTTATGAATAGATTCTATTGCCAAAACACTTTGAGCAATGTAAAACCTAGCCACAGTCTCAGTCAAAGTTTCTTCCTTTATCAACAAAGTCATCAAGTCACCACCAGGCAGATATTCCATTATTAGATGTACATACTCAACATCTTGAAATGAATAATAGAGTTTCACAATGCAGTGACTGGCAACTTCTGCAAGCAAATTCCTTTCAGCTCTAACATGTTCAACCTAAGGTTTATGCAATAAATCCGTAAGTAAAAAGAAAAATGTATAGAATGCAATATTGGAAGCTAAGTTGTAGAGTACCACTACTCTGCTTTCCACAGTTGGATCTTACCTGTCTCCTAATAAGCATTTCTGACTTTTTCTGCTTTTTCATTGCATAAATATTTCCAGATTTTTTCTCTCGACACAATCTAACCTGTATAGGAGTGATAAGATATAAAGGAACAGAATAGGAACCAAAAAAGGAGGGGCAAGTGGGGACTAAGGTGTAAAACTCGCCCCTATATTGTTGATAAAATAATTTATACATCTGATTTTGATTGTATAGGTATATGCAAATTTTCAAGTATCAGATATAAGAATAATTAGAATATATTTGACTAGACAATTGTAATTATATCTAACCTCTCCAAAAGCCCCTTTCCCAATAATGGTTAGAAGGTCAAAACCGTTAACACTAATTTTGTGCCTTTTAAGCCATATATACTGTGTTTCTTTACTCTCCAAATCCTTCAACAGATTGATCTGTTCCTTTTCTGGAACATCTGAAGAGGCAAACTTCTTCTCCAACACTGATCCCCTGCAAACCATGATGCCAGGATAAACCAAAATCAAATGCCACAAACTGAAAGATCTTACCTTCCTTTTTTTTTTTTCCTGCGAAGACGTAGTCAGTTAGAGAATATTGTTCTATAACAGAACTATAAATTATATATCTAAGGGTGAATAGAAATGATTACAAGGAAAAGAAAATAATAAGAAATTTCGAAGCAGAAATGAAAATTTTGACATGATTATTAATTTCTATCACTTGGTGCATAAAGAGAGGCTACAAATGCAGGAAACAAATTAACTAGCATCTTTGAAGACTCTGACAAAGGCTAACGGAGAAAACTGCATATTTATACCAAAATAAAATAAAGTTTGTATACTGTCACACAAGCAACTCAAATATATAGCTTCTTTCTGGACTCTCTTCCTGCTAAGCTACTGCATAGTTGCAAAAATACAGGAGAGTCCTGCCTCAACAGAAGGTATGAAAGAAAAAGGCAAAATTAGACAGATTGCAACTACATCAAATAGTCCCTACATGGCCTTTTCTCAAAGCTGATAACTATAATGGAAAGGATAAAGAGATGGTTAATCCTTAACAACGCAAGGAACCAAATTTGATGCCCAAGATATGACTAGGAGCATAGCAGTTCTCTCCCACTGATTCATAAAAAAAAAACCCCAATCAAAATATGAAGTTATTTTTCCACTTCTTTAAACATCACACCTCCACCCTTCATTCTTTTTTTATAATTACTCAACATTTATGGCTAGCTTAGTCCGTAGAGAGATGTTTAAGGTTAACACCACATCTGACGGCTTATTTCCATATGTATGATCCAAGCACACAAATGGGCAAAAGACACAAACCCATCAGCCGCAAAATTTTAATGCACATTTGTTTAACTTCTTTGGAAACTTCCATTAGCACATATACACACGACACATACCTCAAAGTTCCATTAGCACATATACACACGACACATACTTCAAAGTGTGGCTTTTTCAAAATTTCCCCTTTCTTATCACTAACTCCATTGAGCAACCCTACGAAGTCCGATAATCCATTGAGGAAAATGACATTAATTGTTGTCGAATTTTGAAATGAATCCATGATCAGTCAAAACTCTTGCTCCAATATACAAATAAATCCCAAGCCTTAACATGAGACACCCTCCAGAAGTACTCAAACACGACTACACAATCCCCACCTGCAACTCTTAAAAGCTACTACAACAAAATTAATCAATTGGCATAATATGACATACAAATAGAGAACTCAAACCCATTTGGCCATTCCAGCTCTAATCAAGGTCATGCAAATGTCATGTAACAAAAATCCAGTTAATTATGATCTTCTCAAAAAATGAGCATGCGTGACATCATAAAATTCAAGGGCATGCAGAAATGCCCGATATTTGAGAGATGAAACTCCATTTCTGCATATAAATGAAAAAAAAAAAAAAAATGCATAGCTTTCCTTGCGTTATTGGATGTGTTTCATCTGGGCCCTATAGTGGTTCTCTATAACCTGCCTAGCGACGGCCACTGTCTCCATGGTTAAGCTGGACCGCACCTCTCCCTCCTCCTTCTCCTCCCCTTCCGCCGCCATGGGACCCACATTCTCCTCATCTTCCTCTGCCGCCTTATCATGATTCTCTCTGACTGTGACACCCTTCTTTGCTCCGAAACAGAATAGAAGCTATTCCTTTCTTCTTTCTTCTTTGTGTGTAATGCGTAGTTGTGTACAGTTGACCTGACAAATGTCAGTTGCGATGAGTTTAGACTGGGTCAAAAAAACCGGTTTTC